CAATGTTTGAGAACTTTTGGTGACATGGCTGAAAATCGGTCACAATGGAGCGGTTGTGTCCACTCTTTGATAACTTCTAAAGCTGAAACATTTTCATTAACCTTAATCTGCATGTTATTTCTCCTCCCATACACCTGTATCCGCTTTGATATCAGTCTTTTTCTATCCATTTGTTCTTTGCATGCTACTGTGAAGCGTAGCAACTTCAACCGACACACTTCTATACGAGGTTCCAAGTTAATTTTTTCAGTCTGTCTGTCTGTTTTAGGATGAGCTGCACCATCGACTAAGTGAGGTTTCCTGATAAAGTTACCTGATAGATATCGCAGTTTTATGTAGGGACTCGGATGCAGTTCAGGTATCGATGTCTAAACGAGTCGCCAATGAGGATAAGGTCGACCACATATCACATAGCAGGAACCGTCTTATGCAGCTCTGTGTAGATCACAAATTATTTTTAGCTAGCACTTACTTGCGACAATAATCGCCACTGTGTTTTATGACATGTTTCTTCGATTTCAACTTGGATCCAAATAGGTTACACTGTGCGGGTGTTTTCAGGATTAATACTTTTTGTAGAGCACCTGCTTGAACCCTGATTATGCTTAGGTGTATGCTGATTTGATCTTGCATTTTGATAGCCATTAAAACCATCGTCACAGACGGGTCAACGTCAGATTTGTTGCTCCTGGTATTGATAGTAGATATCAAACCGAGACAAGCGTAAAAGCTAGCTGTAGAGGCTTCAGGAAATGATTAGTACTAGCTGCACTTACAGCATGCCGTGAAAACGATGAATAAAGATGCTTAAGACATAAAAGAGCGTTAGGCTAATAAACACTGAGTGTTTGCAAGCTCTGCGAATTCTTTACGCTTGTTCATCCATTCCAACAGGCAGGGAATACAATGACATATTCAACTTCCTAACGCGATAGATCCCGTTAGGGCCTCAGAGCTTGATCTTCAGAACGTACGAGCGAAATAGAAACAGCAGCTGAAAACAACCATATTCGGAGACTATTCTAAACCATCAGAGCCACTAGCAGCAAAATGCCTGGTGTCACTGAGACCGTCTGTGAAACAGATACCACAGCGATCAACGACCTTTACAGACGAAACTTATTCCATCTACTGGTCTAGCAACTTAAACTTTAGTGTTTTGTGCTACATGGTCAGTTAACACCAACTCAAGTAACGAAGTGAACGTTCGAAAGCAGCTTCCAAACAGCTTACCCTCGACTCCTTTTGAGTACGGAAGTGAGACTGTGGTCAGGAAACTAACTAGACTGTTTGAGAAGGTATGGGAAACTAAGCATTTTATCACTCCAGTATTACGACATTATTGTCCGCATCTTTTAAAAGGGTCTAGTTGGCAATCAACATGATAGCAGTATGCTTTGACTAACGTTTCAAATACTGCCTGCTATCGTACTTTGCGGGTCTTGAAAGTGCGTGTAAAGTTAATTGATTAGGAGTAGGTTGGTTGTCATTCAGGTGGTGGATATATGAATCATATGTTTACCCTTCGTCAAATGCTAAACATTGTCACATGTATTGTGAAACCGACATTCTGCTTCTTAATAACAGAAGTCTTTGATCTATAGGAGAGTACAGAGCTCTGGAAGTGTTTGCCAGAGAGGTACGTCTCTCAAAGTTAAACAAAAGTTCGTGAGTCCTATATAAAAACAGGTAGGATTAGTGCGTTCGACCACTCTTCTCCATTGCTCCAAACGAACTATCAGAGTTATGAAGGACTGTTCGATTGTACCATTGGTATTGACAAACAGGTTTGGAAGTGTTTAGCAGTGATGTAGATCTGTTACCTAGTGAAATAAATTCCGACTCTAAGTATGATATCGTTTGACTGTTTGATATGCAAGCTACTCAAATCGCACTTAGTCAATTGGTGGTCAGTGTTCGTAAGTATGGCATGTGCTTTGTACAATCGAAGAGCAAAGCGTTTCTACAAGATTGGTAGAAACTTGAAGCTACAACCAAGCTAGGCGGGGAATCAATGAAAGTTGCCGGGTAGCTTGTGCACCTGAGTACTTTATGTAGGTACCGGTGGAGGTGTGACTCATAAGATTTCTAGCCACATATCGAAAGCTAGAACAGCGTACGCAAATCTTGCTGTAAGGGGTTGGATGTATACGAGCAGTTCCGCTGTACGTTTGCGAAACAGCCTGAGTTGAAGATGACCAACGACTCGACATGGTTGATTACCACTTTCTCGATGTGAACGCCAGAATCGAGTGTAAACCTTACGTAAACCAACCTGAGGTGAGGCAGTGAGCGCTTGGGCGTAATATAGATCTTCATTCATCAAGTGAATTTATCTTGAAACAGCGACTTTGAAGGCTTGAAAATCCTAATTTCCTTATCGTTCACTGCTTACTACCTTTAGTGTCGCACGACAGTGTGCAATTTGATGAATGATATATGATTTGGGTTAGCACTTGATGGTGCTTCATGAATCTCTGGAAGGAGTCCGAGATAACATGTGACTCAGTGGTCTAAGAAGACAAAGGTACGGTTCAGAATAGAAACCAATACTAACTATGCTGCAGCTTTCTTATCTTTCTACTGGTAAAAAGCAAAATGAAAGAAGTGAATGCTTATTTGAATGTATCCTTGGAAATGCTTTTTTAACAGCTTACTCCCGTTTGCCTGATTTTTTTTCTTCTAACCGTATTCCTTTCGCATATTTTTAGTGCTATCATATTTTTTTTGGTGCTCATGTGCTAATTTGGTTGAAATAAATGATAAATAAACTCTCTCTCAAATCATTACTGCCACGCTTAATTTGACGAAAAGTGGTGACGCAAAGCGACCCTGAAAATGCCACTTACATTACCCTAACCTGACTAGTAAAACCCAGTGATGATTAGTATATGCTACGTCGTGCGTTCATATCGTTTACTGAGTCTGGGATCAGAATTATACGTGCTCCTATTTATAGTAAAATACTGAACGGACAGAAATAAGACTCATTTAGTGATAACACCACTTGTGTTTGTTGCCTAATCTCAGTGAGAAATTTCTTATTATTTACTAATACATAAAAATGGGGTACAGAGAATTCAGAAAGCTGAAATTGATTCTGCTACAAACAAAACCACGGAAGGAAAAATATGACAAGTATAAGAAATAAGTAAGAAAAGTTGCGTGGTAACTTTGATTTAATTAGGAACAATAAATTGCACCCGAAGTACCACCCAACAAATAATGCTACGTAACTGTGTTATATCAAACAAGTTAATACTACTATTATCAAACAGTAATACTACCTGATTCTTCTCGAGCTGTAGGTGTTAGCTCAACGTGAGGGTACTGCTGGCTGTTGTTAATGCCCTAACGACTAATAATGACTGTAGTGACCGTGCACTGGGGTACTGCAGTGCCACAGGTCTGTTGGATACTGACAAGGTGAAAAGCATTAACAACTAAAGTTGATTCAGTTATTGATTGGAATTCTAGGTGGAAGGTTTCAGCAAAAATGTGTTTACCACGCCTGACCGGCAATCTGCCTGACACCCCTTTCCTCATCGAAAGAAGTTACAAAAGGTCGACCTTAAAAATAACACAATTTTTCTTGCAGTCCCGTCGGCATCGGCCATCATAGATAGGATGAAACACAAAACAACTTCAACGACACGGTTACCCCAGAAGTGCAGACCGTCCCCAGCATACATATCGTAACCTCCCCTTCCTTACCTTTATCACTTCGCCTCGCCTCACTATTTGTCCTAATTACCAACAATCAGTCAGAAATCTCCCAATCGCTTACCTAAAACATGATAAAAATAAGAGTCACAAAGGAACCGAACCGGCCATCACCTCTAGCAATTTTAAACGGATAATCATTCATCTACGGCTTGCAACAGCTTCAAATATAAACACAGAAACTGTCTCATTTGACATCCCATATCAAATCAACAGCGGACACAAACAGATGATATTACTTCAAACTATTAAAGAGAATCGATGGAGAATTTCCCCTCTTTCCACAGTATCTCTTTGAACTCCAATCACGCTAACGTATGGAAACATGCTTTTCCACATCTTAATGGGAGCTGGAAAAAAGACACCAATCAAACTATGTCTTCTACTGCAAGATGAAAAAATTAAGTGTTTTAGGAAGAACACAGCTAACTATTTTCGGAACGTAGCATCAATTCTCATCCCAACGAAGCCTCCGGCAATATTCATACTACTGTTGAAACAACGGTAAAAGCGATTTATAACCGATATCCAAATATTAGGCAAAAGTCAATGGAGTCCCACAACTTCATCCGAGTTGATCAACACCACATGATACATCACGACTCGCTCTAATCACAATGATGAGAGAAAACAGCTTGACACAAATTGACCATCAGTCCTCGTAACGACCACAGCTAGTGGTGGGTAGCGAAAGCGAAAGAGGTGGAGAAGGGTCAGGTTAATGTGATTTTAGATGATCATTAGGGAAACTGGCACGAAGAAGATGATGTTCAGTGAGGTCACCACTGAAAAGCATGACCCCATGGTAACGTCCCAGGACAGGTGAATACAATGTTGGGGGGTACATTGCGAAGGGCAGTCTAACTGGTTTGTAATGTTTTGATTACCTAACATTCAGCCTAAACCTGAATGACATATAGATGTCCTCGAAGTTGAGAGGGCCACTTCAGGCATGAAAGTGAAACAATTGAAAGCAGCAGGATCTAAATGAACGGTTGGAGACCTTTGGTTATCTGGCTAAAATCGGTCACAACGGCACAGATGCATACCCTTTTTGTCATCTTTAAAGTCTTGAATGTTTTTCTTCACTTCTATTTATTTGTTTTCTCTTGTATCACGAACTTTTTCCTACCTTATCATCAATTTTTGTATGCAATCCCTTGTACATTGCTGTGAAGCGCTGCAAATTGAACCGGTGCACTTCTGCGCCACGTACTACGTTGATTTTTCTATCTGTTTATATGCTGGCTTTTTACCTCACACACTCATATAAGCAGCTAGGGACGATGGTTACTTTATTCTCAATGAACAAAAACAAACTGTATAAACCTATGGAGAGAATATGTCTCAAAACCAAATACAAATTATGGTAGAAAAGTGCATTACTTTTCAACACTGCTATATACAGAGTATTGGCAGGAAGTAAAACGAAGACGAGTATAAAAAGATAGAAACAATTACGCCAACTTCTAGCTGCTAGTGCATTATTCATTCTTACGGCACATACAAGTTGATTTATTCAATAGACTAACGAAGAGGGGCTAAGATATTGTTGAAACAGTTATAGCTCAACCGAAAGCAAAACGAATAAGTGACTGGAAGTACACTTGGTGTCATTCAAAGAATGCACGTATCGAATAACAATATAGCTCAATAACCTGTTATAAGTTTAGGCACTAGACTGTGAGATACAGATGTATATGGGTTTACGATACTACCCATTCACCCAGTGAAAATAAGTATAAACTCATGACCTAAAAACTGGTAGAAGAATTTCCAAACCAATGGTTTGCAACTATATGTCCTGCAAGTAATCTACTCTCCAACATAAAAACCTAAATCTCAATAATATCTTGAAGTTAACAAGATTAAAGAGATTAAACTGAATACGCAACTATAACGAAACTTAAAGTTCCCAGCATGTGATTATGACTTTGATAATAATTTCAAAACACCTAGAATAACCAAAATGTTAATAGAATGCAGTTAAAAGCGTACTTCGATTTGCTGTTGTAGGCGCAGCAATTTGATGACCCCAAGCTGTAGGCATCCATCCGTTTGTAGAATTGATGGTATGGTCTGGCCAACTTCCCAGAGCAGTACCAATATTAGGCATAGGAGGCCCAGGACCGACTGCGGTCTGACCATTATGTGGAGCATTAGCACTTGCATTAGTCCAGGCCAATGGAGGCCACGGCTGGAGTTGTCCATGAGAACCCCAGTTGCCAGGCCACTGACTCCAAGTTGCACCTAAAAGTATAATAAATTGACCATAATTCTTAGTGCGTGCACGTAAGTTCTCCTAAATAATAAAGTTTCAAAAAAGTTTGGTTTGCAAAATAGTTTTCGTCGCGGACTGATATCACCAGAAGAACCACTGAAAACAAAGAAGCACTTTGGTGGCTCCTTAGTTCCAGTTTGGAACTCCTGAGCAGTGCACACACCTTATGAGAGGGTTGAACAAGAACCGCCAGGTCTTATGACAAGCATGTTATCATCTAACCACTACTACCAATGAGTTCGAATTTCATAGTCCACATTTTCATGCTACTGTCGGCTAGCGATATGCGGTGACTATCAATCAACGGGATTATTTGTCGATAAACCTGAATGAGTTGACCCCATAAGTACTACTTCAAAACTTCATGAAATCTATCTCAAAGCAAGTTAATAACATTTGAAGTCAATCAATCCCTAAACACTCGAAAAAATAGACTAAGATTTGCTTCAAGAAGAAATCACACCGTTCATTCCTCTAGGTTAAAAGACTGATTAGTACTAACGAGTTATTAGTCCAGTATATCAGTGTCTAAACAGCTGATCAAACTCCAAAAAAGATGAACCATGAGAACACATTGAAAATGCCCATTTAAAAAAACTCAATCTGGTATATGTTCATGTAAAAGGTTACGAACCATAATTTTTGTGGCGGACTTAAGATACTAAACGGTCGCCCAATCCTCAGTAGATGGAGTGGGGTTCGAAGTCTGGGTCCACTACTTGAAAGTCGAGATCGTAATTCACTGAGCCACACATCCTTACTCAAAATAAAATAAAAAAATATCGAATCTCCAACGTTCTTGTAAATGACAAGCATCCAAGAAGAAGGTGGTTGACACACATTTCTACTTGTACAACCGTCGGTTTATAAATGTTCACTTTTTACACCAGTTTCTCCAAATAAAAGCATTTAGACGAAAATAATATGTTACCGTTTGAGCAAAGACACCATCTGAAATGATAAAAACGTTCACTGGCAGTAAATGTACCAGCTTTTATAACTAGCTGTGTCATGACCGTACAACTGGCGGCGTATCTCCAATCTATCAAGAGCTGATCCAATCGGGCAGCTTGCATTCAAATTAAATTTTGCAAACTACATTCTTTTGCTGGACAGACAATGAGAAAATCAACGTAGGACCTCCCACATACGTGCATCGGTCCACGTTACCACACTTCACAGTAGTACATAGAGAACAGGTGGGTAAAAAATGAGTGATATCATCGGTTAACCCATCGGTTGAAAGTTAGGTGCCCAGACCAACGAGCCACAGCCCCCCTAAGGGTCAATGGGAAGCTGCTAACTGAATTGATGACGTCCACCAGGGATGCACTCTCGCACCGCTGTTGTTTAACAGTGTTCAAGATTCATCAGTAGATATAACTTCAGGTACCTCAGGGGTTCAATTACTCCCTAAAGAGCAAGTGACTGACTTGGAGAACATAGAAGGTATATTCTTCTTTGACGAAGACACTCAGTAAATGCAGAATCGTCCAAACGCTCTCACCAGAAACCTCAGTACTCATTGGTATGCGTTTCGCAAACATATATTGTGAGATGATACTTCAACACTGATACGCGTCGACTCCTAGTTTAGGAATAGGGAGTGAAGTGGTTAAACGTGTTGACCTATCATACGGCTGCGATACAACCACTAAAAGTGGAAGATATGAAGAACTGATAGGTTTTTGACCCCAAGTCTCTTCATTGCATTGCTAGTATGTGATGGCACCACTGTGTGAACATTGGGAAGTATTGAAGGAAAGTACTAGGTAAGAAAAATAAATCAGTCAGTGAACTGGTAAACCCACAGTGACTGAGGTGGCTTGGACATGTTTTGAACCTGCCAAGGCACCGTCTACTTCCACATGCAATGTTAGGTGAAGTAGAAATATGTCGAAAGGTAAAGGTGGTCAAACCGAAATTGACAGCAATCCAAGAAGCCTCCGCTTGTTAGTCTGAATTATGTATGGAAGTTCACTCTGTCTGGTGAGATAACAGAAATCAGTGATTCGACTCCATGATAAGGCTAAAAATCGGCTGCATTTGTGCAGATGTATGCAGTGTTCGTCATGTTCAAGTTTGGAACATTTTCTTAACCTTCATCTATTTGTTCCCTCTTATCTCATTCAATTTTTTCTTATTTTAGTATCACTTCACAATATTATCCAAACAAGAGGTAGATGAAGTGTGGCAACTTGAACCATCACCTTTTCAGGTGATGTTCTACGTTGATTTCTTTATTTGTCTGATTAAAAACCTGCTTCAATAAATGGAAACAACAAAGCTTGGCTAATTATCAAAAAACTGGTATCCTCAGTATCATACATCAATTGGTCACTGGAGACCAATCTCATGTCCAGCCCGGAGTACAGATCGAATTTTGCCGATCATTTTGCAATCTGGCCACCAAGCTAGAAGCCTCATCATAGCTGTGCACTTTGATTGATGTTAGTTGTTTGAAGACGATAGACGGGAAGTGCTTGTTAGCACTCATCAGCAAGGCGTATCTGCAAACTCGTGAGAAATGATGTCGCCTGTGAGATTCGAACCAGTATCATCCAGTGCTGCAGTCAAACTACTATGTATTGCCCCATGGCTGTAAATAGAGCACGTCACACATTTTGAGACACTCACTGTCTTGTGGGATTGGAGTGAACAACAATGAAGCTAAAAGCAGAAGACTAACAGTGAAACTGATCCTGCTAATGAGGTCGCGAATCTATATCCGCTGATATGTCTACTAGATGACACATGATGAGTGATTTCCTGGCTTGATAGAAAGCTAAAAATTAACAAACTAAGAAATAACCATGGGGTCATCAACTGCCTTTATAGACGGCATAGGAAATTAAAAACCACTTGGTCGAGGTTTTTGGAACACTAGGAATAAGCGATAGGAAACGGCAGAGAAATAACTCAGATTCTATTATACTGACTTATACATATTGTCTACTATAAAACAATAAACGTTTTCGTCTATTCATCTTCATAACTTATCATCAAAATCTACATTTATAGAACCAAATTTATTAACAATGTAGCAATCAGGTTTGTAGAAAATTTATTTTAAAACGGATCCAAAATGATGATCAGATTGATTTCCGTTTGTAGATGATAGCATGAATTATGTATATACGCCGACTGTGGTGACTAATTGAGTGTAGATTGGTGTCAGATGACCGATGACCAATCATAGTAAATGTACACCACGCGGGAAGGAGAATTACTATTGAAGTTCAAAGTTACATTCTGTCGGGTAAGTGAAGCACAAACGAAATGTGACTAGATGTTTGGCATCAAGATCAAAAACAATTTGCTCTAAGGAACTACGAGTCTTCTAGGATATTTTAAGGGAAAACGAATATATCCTGACAAGTTTATGAAAATAGATATTGCCTACAATGTTCTAAAATACGATCTGATGAGAGTGCAGAAATCTGTTTCTGCGATTCGAATGAAATTTTGTGACGTCTAACTGGATCAATAAACAGAACATTCTACTCAGGATGTTTGGGCTTATTCTTTAGTTACATCTTATTGTTCAGTCCGGAACTTAGAGATGCCTCACCTCATTTGAGCTCATCGTCATGCATATAACAACTCAACTGTTTCTGTGAAACAAGTTGCATAGGACGCAAAATCAGGAAATTCCGTTTCAAGATATAAGAACACCTACGAGGTAGGAAAGCAAAGGATGAGGTCAAATTCGCTAGAAGTTCTAAATTAGCACATCTGGTTAACACCGGACATTACACAGATAGTGACAAAGCTTTAACTGTGATACACTGCGTTCCGAGGATTCATCACCATCATTCATCAAATCAACATAGGACCAGGCATTAATGTGTAACCTTCCAAGTTGCCACACCTCATATCAGCACATCAAGTAACAAAGCAACAAAATGGAAGATGAAAAAGGAAAGAAAAACCGCCGAAAAAGAAGCAGAAAGAAGTAAAAGAGAGGGAGGAGGAATGAGATAATGGTGACATTAATAACAGCGGTCAAGATGAGGATAATGTGTGTATACATCTGCGCCACTGACATCGGTTCTCAACCATATCACCTAGAGTATCCAACCACTGGTTTCTCTTGTTCCACAGATCCCAACCGGATAGTCTGCATCGCCCTACATAGCTCAGACCAACAGTCAAAGTCTTCATGCATTGATGTCATGTTTTATTATGGCCGCCCTGAGCCTATTTCCAGCAGCCTAAACCTACTTCGCCCAACATTGTGCGACGAGGCAGACGACGGTGGCTAGACATAAATAACACATGTCCTTACTATGCCAGTCGATGAGGGTTTACAACCGCATCAACTGGCTTACCTCTCCTGCCTAGAACTCTACGCCTGACTTCTGCGTTACTCACACGGTGGCACCATGAAACATGGCACATGCTACGAAGGCAACGGTGGTCAAACACCTGAAGCCTTCTCATGTCTTCTACATTTAATGGCCATGTTGCACAGCTATACAGTAGAGCAAAGCCGACTGCAGCACAGTGCACTTGACCCTTAATAGACAATCGGATATCACGGCGGCGCCACAGATGATGTAAGTTAGTAAAGGCCAATCAAACCTTTTGTATTTGTGTAGAGATTTTGTCGGTCACTAACTAATCCAGCATGGTGGATCCGACTTCCCAAGTAAGTTAGCCGGGGCATTGTTGAAGATCAGTCCTGGAGCGACAATTTGCATTTGGGTGGCGAGAAACGCATCTCAAACATCCCAAATTGCTACTCAATGAGTCCGGAAGACTCGAAATCCTGTCAGCGTCTTCTTCTAACAGGACTATATCATCTGTGTATTCAAGGTCAACCAAAAGTTTTCCTTTGATTAGTTCGATCCCTGTGTAGTCAGATTGCGAGAGGGAGACCTCCACGAGAACATCTATGATAAAAGTGAATGAGAATGGAGAGAGTTGGTATTCTTGACGGACATCACTCAACGTACACAGCTCACTA